CCATTGGTGCTGATCTAACCTTTTAAGGCCCAAATGTGTTTTTGCATTCTAAGTTGACATTTTCCAAAGACAGATCCAATAAGTACTCATCTAGCTTCTGGGTCTGTCACTCCTCCTTGTACAGGAGTTAATCTTTGTAAAAAGTCACTAATATTCTCTCTGGCCCTGTTTTACCTTGGTATATGATTCAGTTTTATTTCCTGGTTTCTGAATCCTGTCCCAAGCATTAAAGCTGCTGTGCTGCATAGGGACAAGGTGTGTTTGTTGTAGAGAGCCTGGTCCTGAGGATCAGAGTAATGACCCTCACCAAGAATTTGATCTTGGGAAGTCTCAAATCCTTTTGCTTTTTCCTGTTTTTCTAAAATTTTTGCATCGTCTCACAAATAGCATTTCCATAGCAGCTGGGGTTCATTTTCTAGGACCACTGAGATTAACTGAAGTCCAATGTGTGGGGTAGCCTTATTGCTTGAAGCCCACTTTTTCACTAGTTCCCTAACAAATGGTAAATGCAGGCCTTAAGATACTATTGCTTGCTCAGTTTAGTTTAGATTGCTCATACCTTATAGGTTGTCATGTATATTCTTTGGCTACCTTAGGGTATTTTGTGGCAGATGGCTTCTCAGAGGATATTACCAGACAGGCAGCTAAAACTCTGGGTAAATCATTCTGGACTCTGGCAGGTATTGATGAGGTTAAACCCCGTCCTTGTACCTTTTCTCCCTGCTCATCAGTTTCAATAATTTTCTCAGTTTTCAAATATTTTTACCACTGCCTTTTGTAAAGTCAGAAAATTCCTGTCCAGTGTTCCATTCTAATGCCCTCATTGAGGATTCTAAGGTATTAAATTTGTCCACTAAAGATAATTTCTTATCCTTGGACATAATTTTGATGGCATGCATATTGCTTTCCTGGAGAGATACATTATCTGTTAACCTATCATAACTTTTCAACAGATTGTTAAATTCAACAGCATAAATTCAGATAATGTCTCAGTACCCTTCGACATTGATTGGATTTTTGTCTGTCAAATTAATGTTAACTTTCTCAATAGTATTAATTTTTTCAACTGTTCATTATTAGTCTATAAAGACTGTATCATTTCTAAAAGTGCCTCATTTTTGGCTCTGTTATCAAACCATTTTCTTAATGATATAAAAAAAACTAATTCCCAAAATCAAATAAATGGATGTATAAGGAAAATCACATATGCCTTGCAGGATGCCATCCATAGTATAAGCAAAAAAGGTTATTAAATTCCTGAATGGTAATATTGTCTCCCATTGTATAACTTTCAAATTTACTTACCACCATTAAATTTCAGTAAATTGTTGTAGGTGTAATAATTTTTATTTACAAGCAGGTGGTATAATACTGTTCATGCCATATTGGTTCCACATGTTGGTGCCTGGTTAAATACTGACAAATATGCTTTGCTTGACAAATTTAGAGCAATTAAGTCAATTCCATAACCAGAGCTCATGAGAAGGGAACACAAACCAGAAGCTGTGCAGCAGGGAAAGTGGCCGGCAGGGTGGGGAGGGGCATGAGCGAACCTGAAAAATTGCCAAGTTACCACAAGGGAGCTCCACTGTGGCTGTGGTGGGGTTTGGCAAAAAGCCACTTAGTAGGTGAAATCAAGCCAGGCAGGTGGGAGTGGGAGATCTTCTGGGTCTTTTTTTAGCCTATCCCCATAGATGTGGAGTTGGGATTCACATGGGCACCAGATGGAAGTCACAAAATAATCTCACACTAGCTCAGAACTGGATATAATAAAAGCTTATTTATTTAGGGGTAGACTCACCAATCACAGTCCTCTGCACAAAGGGGAACAGGAACTAAATTCAGAAGCCGTGAGCAAGAAAGAGCATATGCTTTATGTCAGAATTCATAGTATAAGAGGCCATCGTATAAGTGGTGTGGTGTCTTAAAGTCTACTGGCTGAAGAAATTCCTACAGCCTAATAGAAATTCCATGTTTATTGTTGAGGGTTCCCACTTGATACATTTGGACAAAACTCACTTCTGCAGGTAATACTGAATACAAAGCTATACTAGTGGAGTTCAACCAGCAGTAGTGAGGGTGAAGGTCTCATAAATAGGTTTCCCCTTACAGGGCTGGAGAGTTGGCTCAATGTTTCCAGACCACATGGTGTTCTTTCAAATGACCCAGATTCAGTTCTCAGCACCTAGCTTGTAGCTATTTTTCTTACTGAACATTAGTCTAAGGAAATATGGAGAAACAGGATGTCTTTAACATGATAAAGGGTTATCCAAACTGTTCTCACTGAGATTGTGTCATTATATAATTGCTGTTATATAGCAATAACAGCATTATAATATAACAGCATATAATATAATATATATTATAGCATTATAATATAACAGCAATATAACAGCATTATAATAATTGCTGTTGTGGCCAGAGCATGCCATCAAACTCGTGTCTAGAGCCTGGATCTACCTCTTGCTAGCTCGTGGTTTCAGCAGTACACTTCTTGCACAGTGGTGGTTCCTTGGTAAATATCTGGTGAGTGTATGAGCCATTTCCTTGACTGTAGAACAGGTGTAATTGTGTACTTGTTTACTGATTACACACAGATTTTAAAAATTGTCACATAATGGGTTTCCATTGATGTCAGGTGTGTGAACCAGTTCCCAAATCATGACACAGAGACTTCTTATTAGTTATGAATGCTTGGTCTAGCTTAAGCTTGTTTGTGGCTAGCTCTTTCTACTTAAATTAACCTGTCTCTTTATGTACCTTTTGCCTCAGAGGTTCTTTTCTTCCTTCTGTATATTTTCCTTTAACTGCTTCTTGTGTCTGCTGGCTGGTGGCTGCCTGGCTTCTAACCCTGGATGTCTCCCTTGTTCTCTCCTCCTTTCTTGTTCTTCCGAGTCTCTCAAGTCTAGATTTCTCCTCTTGTTCATTCTCTTTGCTTCTCAGCTCTACCTATCCTTTCTTTTCCTGCCTCGTTATTGGCCATTCACCTCTTTATTAGATCAATCAGGTGTGTTAGGCAGGCAAGGTGAAACAACAACACCTCTTTTCATAATTAAACAAATGCAGCAGAAACCAATGTAACACACCTTTACACAGTTCAAGTAATATTCTGCAGTATAATCAAATGTAACACATCTTTGTCTGATTAAAATAATATTACACAACAGGTATGATAATAACTTTTACATAAATCTTATTAATGTCAAGGAAGTTCTGTAAATACTGAAGTTAGGTAGGTTTGTGGAAGAGGTGAAAAGACTAAGGTGCTTCAGGCAACATGTGCTTGGTGTTTCTTGTCCTTCTCAATATCCATGCTTGGTAAACCAGTTTATGTCTTCCATAGTGTGGGCAGGATCAATCTGTCAAAAGTGATGCCATCGGCTGGGCGGTGGTGGTGCACACCTTTAATCCCAGCACTCGGGAGGCAGAGGCGGGCTGATCTCTGTGAGTTCAAGGCTGGCCTGGTCTACAAGAGCTAGTTCCAGGACAGGCTCCAAAGCTACAGAGAAACCCTGTCTTGAAAAACCAAAAAAAAAAAAAGAAAAAAGAAAAAAGTGATGTCATTGTTCTAAGGAGCATCGAAGCCAACACCATCCAAGCACAAGGAATGAGAAGGCAGATGTGACACATCAAAAAGGGAGGCTTCTCTAGAAGTGATGTTGAAATTGACAAGAGTGCATTGAGGGCCTAGAGAGAAGGTTCAGTGGTCAGGAGCCCTGGTTGCGCTTTAGAGGACTCCAGTTTGATTTCCAGCACCCACATGGCAACTTGCAACCATCCGTAACTCCAATACTGGGGGAATTCGATGCCCTCTTCTGGACACCATGGGCACCAGGCATGCACATGGTACAAAGATATACATGCAGATAAAATGCCCATACACATAAAGATAAACAATTTCTAAGTATGTTGATTAACTTAAGGGCATTTTTCAGCTTTGTTGTGGGTGGGGGTTTGCCAGAGGATTCTGGGTCCCCAGGGTACTTGGGGTACGACACATAGGAGATCCTCGGTGGGCACCATGAAAACCAAGTTGAAGTGAAACCAATTCGTGGACTGCACCAGCTTATCGTTTTGCTGTCTCACTGAAACCTAGCCAGTTTCTGTTTGAATATACATTCCTCAGAAGGACGCTTGGTCTTGCCAGACTCCAGAGTGTAAGGAAAAGCCAGCTAATGGTTATGGATATGGTTTTCTTTTTGGCAATTTGAACTTTTTCTGAAACTCTTCCGAAAGTGAGCCTGCCCTGAGTATCCTTCCTTTTCCTAATATTGCTTCCATTTGATCTTTCACTCTGATTTAAAACTAGTTGAAAGTTTGTATAACCAAGGCTTAAATCAATTCAACTCTCCCACATGTGTCCATGTGCGTGGGTGTGGGGTATCAGTGTGCATGAATCATTTCTTCTAGGGAGGGGTTAAGAGGATTGTAGCTGCATATAGTTCAAGGCTGATCCTGATGGCATACAAGAAGTTTGAAGCTGTGTATTACAGAGAGATGACAAGTCTGTATGTGAAGATGGTTATCCTTCCTCCCTTTCCTGTGACGTTCCTCCTTCCAGGAAATCTTTTTTAATTTTCCTACTTCTTCTCATTTTTTTGCTGCTGTCAATAGAAATGCTATATATTCTAGTGAAAACTTTAGAATTTTTTAGTATTAATTTCATCCTATTATTGAAATGTTTGCCAGTGTCAGCTAGTGCACATGGAAAAATGATCAGGGTTAGATACAAGACATGGATTCTTGTACATGTAAACAGTTTTTTAGACCAGGTCTCACTGTATAACTCTGGCTCTCTTGTACCTCACTATGTAGACCAGGCTATCCTCGAGTCCATAGAGAGTACTGGGATTAGAGGTGTGCCCTACCACATCTGGCTAGAAATTTCACTTCTTGCGTGTCTTTTTGGAGTTCTTTTTAATTTACTATCATCCCAGAATGAAGCTCACTAAGAAGGGAATGGCAAATTATTATAATGTTTCTGTTGTTTTTGTTTCTAGCTTATTCTACTAAACTCAACAAATTTCCTGTATTTAATATTAATGATGACTTGAATGATCTGTGTACCAGTGCAGTGAGCCCAAACACCACCAAAGCCACGAGGTATGCCTTAAATGTGTGGCGCTACTGGTGCATGACCAACGGGCTCAAAGACCACACGGACATCACCAAGGTAAGGGATGCGTGAGTTTGCTAATTCTTTTGGCTGGCTTCAGTGAGCTTCCAAGTGCCAGGCACCCTGCTAAGTGTTGTGGGGAGCACTCATGGAAGAACATGAAGTACAAAGAAAATTGTCCACAGAACCAAGTAGAATTTAGAAAGTGTTTAATGAGTGTATATTTGTTAAAGTATAAAGAAAAATAAATTAAGCCGTATTTCCAGGAAGAGGTAGAAGTTGTTGCAATTAGAAGATGATACCAGTGGAGCAAGCGGTGTGAGAAAGAGAAAACTGTACAGGGCAGAGCCATTTGCTACAAAACCACATACTGATGATTCTTAAGTGACAAGCTTGGAGTTTTGTAAACTCTGGGAAATCACTGAAGTTGCTTGGTTTTCCATACTGCAGGATCTGATTGTAAGAGCTGTAGGTATAGCTATAGTATAGGATCAGGTATAAAAGAATCCACTACAGTTTATTTTTAGCATTAAGGAACATTAAAAGTGGTATTTTAGAGAAACTAATTGAAAGTTGTGAACAAAACAGTTATTTCATATTCTTGGTCCCCAGACTCCACCTTTACAAAATGAGCTCTGAAGAGCTCTTCTAACTTCAAGTATTTGAGATTTGAGAATAGTAGGGACATGAGTACAGCAATTCTAAGCCAACTGATTATATCCATTAGGCAGTTGGGATTGTGAGGTTTAAAACGGTGGAAATGATAAGCTGGAAGCATAGATTTAAAGGTCTCACAGATGGAAGCCATTAGCTGAACCCCGAAGGCAAGTAAGATTTCAGAGTTTGGGTGATGTATTTAAGGAGTCAATAAAAGCTGAAACAGAAAAGGTGGTTTCCTCTTTCTGGCAGCATGCGTGTTAAGTAGTGTAAGAGGCTTTTCTGTTTCACATGAAGATGGGGAGCACCCTGGAGGTGAGGGCAGAAGAAAGAACAGTGGGAAAGCTCACCAGTGAGTGCTTTCTTTTGAGGGCAGAACTAGACGTCCAGGAGGGAAGAGCCTTTGGGTTCCTAAAACGTTCTAGGTCAGGGGGCTAGTGAGATGGTGCATTTGATAAGTGCTTGCCATGAAAGCAGGAAGAGCTGAATAAAGAGCCCCAGCATCCACACTGCAAAAACCTGGCATGGTGGGTACCCAGAGTTCAGAGGCCAGTCCTTGCCTCAGAAAGTAAGATGGAGAAGTAATGAGAAAGATACTTGACGTCTACCTATGGCCTCCACATACATGCACAATCTCATGCATGTGTACACACATACACCAGAGACAGAGTGATTGGTTGAGTGAATTGATTCTTGGTAAATAGCAGACTCTGGCTGCTAACAGAGTCATATGTTAATGGTCTCTCCGGGGAAGCATCCAGAATGTAGGCACTAAGGGTTTTGGGCAAATGCAGATCAACTGAGTAGGTTTTTGTTTTAAAAATCAGGCTAAAGGATGGCTTTCCAGTTAAGAGTATCTTCTACTCTTGCTGGGAACCTGGGTTCGGTTCCCAGCACCTACCTGACAACAACCATCTGTAACTCCAGTCCCAGAGGATCCAACACCCTCTTCTGGCTTCCACAGACACCACATGTGGTACACAAACATATGCAGACAAAACACCTATACACACACACAAAAAAAACCAGTAATTTAAAAATTTAAAAATCTAGGACATAGTAAAATTCACAGTGTCTGACATTTAATGAAAAACTATCAAACACGTGAAAAACTAGAAAGTATATCCCTTAAAGAGTGATTCAAGCCTCTACTGGTGGCATTCACTTCTAATCCTAATCCTAGCATCTCAGAAGCAAGGTTAGCTACATTACAAGACTCTGTTTCAAAAGCAAGAAAAAGAAGAGGGGGCTGGAGAGATGGCTCAGTGGGTGAGAGTAGGTGCAGCACTTGCAAAGGGCCTGAGCTCGATTCCCAGCACACATATTCAGTAACTCACTTGTAGTTTGTAATTCCAGTTCAAGGGCTTCAGTGCTCTCTTCTCAGTCCTGTAGACACCTGTATTCACATACCTGTACCCTCACACAGACACAGAATTGAAAATAGAATAAATGTTTTAAAAAATCTTTTTAAAGAAAGAGGAAGAATCTGTACAAGTATATCATAATCCTGTTCTTAGCCAGGGATGAAGAGAAAACAAAAGCAGTTCTAACCAAAGGACAGATGGTTTGCAGAGGATCGAAGGTAAGAGTAACAGATTTGCTTTTGGAAACCAGGCAGATGAAAAGATATTGGGACAAATGACTTCTTTAAATTATTGGAAGAAAAGTAATTTCAGTATCCACAGTGACAATGTCTTTCAAAAAGTAAAGATGAGATAATAATTTGAGACATTCAGAGATGAGGGGATTCAGTAGCAGTAGATCCACACTTTGAGAAGCATTAAAGGAAGTTTAATGCTCTCCCTCCAACCTAAAGGGAGATTATTACGTCTGGAAATTCGATCCATCACCAAGGGAAGGAAAGCACAGGGAGGGCAGCTACTGTGTAGATGTATGCATGCTTTAAATCTTTCTGTGGAACATCATGGACTTTTTTTTAACAAAAACAGTAACGAGATAAAATGGAATAAGTAGCATTGATCCAGAAAAGAGGAAAATGGGCAAAAAAAAAAAAAAAAACAGTTCTGTACTAGCAAGTCCGCAAGCCACAAACAAAAGATAACATTTGTTAACTAGCTGAAAGGAAACCTGTCCACCTAAAATTTTATACTGCCTCTCCTCCCTCATTCCCTCCCTGATCTCCCCCTCTCTCCCTCTCCACTCTCCCCCCATTTCTTCATCCCCCACCCTCTCTTCCTTCCTGCTCTTCTCCTTTCCTTCCTCCCCACTCTCCCCACTCATCTCTTCCCCTCCCCGCTCTCTTCTTCCTCCCCACTTCCCCCTCTCTTCCTCCCTGCCCTCCTCTTTCTCTCTGAAAGAAAATTACTTTCTAAATGCAAAGGCATCAGCAGACACAGCACTAAAGGAAGACCCATCAGCCAATAAAGAAGTTCACAGTGACAGCCTTGATTCAGGATATTGAAATTATAGTGTATCCTTGTCCATAACAGAATTAAATTGCATTAGTTACAGACTGCTAACTAAAAAGGCACTGACTATAGGAAGTTATTAAATGACCCACAGATCAAGAAGAAACCACAGAAGAAATCATAAAATATTATGAACCAAATGAAAATTAAGTCACAGCTCAGAGTTTGTAGACTGTGACTTCTGCTGGAGAAGCAGGCAGCCTGCAGAGCGTCACCTCTCCTCTGCTCCTCTAGATCCAACCTCCCAGTCTCTTCAGCAGCTTGGTAGCCGACCATCAGCTGTGGCCTCTCCTCATTTTCAACCCCCATTCCCAGGGAACGAAGCAGACCCTAGTGGAATATCCTGCTTTCCTCCCTCCTGTGGACCACCTCAGCCCCTCTGCAGCCCATACCCTTCCTAAATGTCAGTTCCCAATACCTAGAAATAGATTTTACATGGAACTTACAATGACCACACCTATCAGGATCCCAGAAGAATTTCCTACCAGGCAATACACAGCCACAACCTGCTCCTAAAGAACCAGAGAAGGCAACAGAAACCCAGGAACAAAACACCCACCCAATATAGACAAGAAAAGTATCTGCACCAAGAATTACAATCTTCCCAGTTCCAGATGCCTAGACACCAGAATAAAAACACAGTAACAATCAGGACAACATATATCCACTGGAACCCACAACCCTACCACAGAGGGTCCTGGTTATTGCAATATAGCAGAAGCACAAGAAAAAAGACCATAAAATATTCTTTATGAATATAATAGAGGTCCTTAAAGAAGAAATTAATACATCCCTTAAAGAAACAGTGAAGGGAAATGAATAAAACAATACCTAAAAGTAGAGAAATAAAATCAATAAAGAAAATCCAAGCTGAGGGAAATCTGTAAATGAAAATTTTAGGGACTATAACAGGAACCTCAGAGGCAAGCCTTACCAACAGAATGCAAAAGATGGAAGAGAATCTGAGGCATTGAAGACACAATAGAAATTGTGGATACCTTGGGCAAAGAAGATATTAAATCTAAAAAACTGACAAAAAACATCCAGGAAATCTGGGACACTTTGAAAATAGCAAATCTAAGAACACTGGGAATACAGGAAGGAGAAAAAACTCAAGTCAAAGACACAGAAAATATTTTCAACAAAAGCATGGAAGAAAATTTACCTAAAGAAGGAGAGCCTATCAGGTACAAGAAACATCCAGAATCCAGGAGATGGTGGCACATGCCTTTAATCCCAGCACTTGGGAGACAGAGGCAAGCTGATCTCTGTGAGTTCAAGGCCAGCCTGGTCTACAGAGTAAGTTGAAGGACAGCCTCCAAAGCTACACAGAGAAACCTTGCCTCTAAAAACAAACAGAAGGAAGCAAGCAAGGATGGAAGAAAGGAAAGAAAAGGAAAGAGAACACCAAGTAGATAAGACCAGGAAAGAAAGCTAAAGGTGCAGCACAAAGAAAGAATATTAAAGGCTGCAAGGGAAAAACGTGAAGTAAAATAGAAAGGCAGACCTATTAGAATTACACCTGACTTCTCAGTAGAGATTGTAAAAGCCAGAGGGGCCTGGAAAGATGTTCTGCAGACTCTAAGAGACCACAGGTGCCATCTCAGACTACTATACCCTACAAAATTTTTAATCACAATTGATGGAGAAAAAAAGACAGACTCTGTTAAAACCAAATTTATCATCTTTCTTCAGATAGATACCCTACAGTGGTGCTGGAAGAGAAACTACAACCTAAAGAGGTTAGAGGGAATAAATAATCCCAGACTGTAGGAAGATTTGTAGGAAGCCTACAAGGCTGAGAGATGAAGCAAACTGGGCCTAGCAACAGTTACTGTCAGAGGTCCTGATCATGCCTAGCCAATGAGAAGTGACCTTGCGATGCTGCCTGAAGGCCTACGAACAGGCACTGTCAGAGGTCCTGATCATGCCTAGCCAATGAGGGGCAAACACACAATGCCAATGAATTGG